AAAGATGCTGTTAGGAGTCTGAGGCAGGTCTATACTAAACCTCCCCTGGTTTAGTGAAGGGGCAATTAACAGTAAGGTCAGCCTTGAACTGTGGGGCTCAGTGGCTAACGCCCTTGCTTTGCTATGAACGCTAGCACTAAAATCTCATCCTGTTAGGCCTGCATTTTCCTTTCCCTTTGATATTTTCTCATATTAAGAATGGTGAATTGAACCTAGTAGATGTGAACTGGTAGATAATTCCTTCCTCTCAAGTTATTTCACCTCAGTGTAGGGATCTGCAAAATGGGGGATTCCTACTTGAATCTTTATTGAAGGATTCAGTGGAAAAATTAATGTCTGTGAAGGTACCTGGCACTTAGTGAGCTCTCACTGCTTCATTCCTAACCTACTTTCCTTCTGAGGCCAAGCTGGGAAGATATGAAATGTTTCAACTAAATTTACACAAAAGAAAAACGAGCACCCACAATCACCCCACCAGACCAGGCTCCATCCCCAGGGCTGCAAAAGGGTGGACCTTTTTGGTTTAAGTTGTGGAGCAGGGCCTAAATGTGACTTGACACCCATTAGGTAACCATTCTGACACGGTGACAGAATGAATGGCAGCAGACACTGAACAATGCAGCACCAATCCAATGCCAGGATGTTCTGGAGAGAGGGGCAGAAGCAAAACCTCCAGGATGGGGCATGGGGTTAGCAAATAGCCAGCTTTGGCCAGAGTTTGTGTGTCCACTGCAGTCTTCCCAAGCAGGCACCTTGGAATCCCTGTACCTCCTGGATCTAGGGGTCTGGGGTGTGCAAAGGCCATGGGTATGCTACTTTCTCCATGAACATGGCCTTTGCAGTAGCACGGGCTGTGTGGCAGAAGGCTTGCCCTGGAGTCTCAACCTGTAAACTGACTAGATTCCTTATCACTCTGAGTGTAAATTGTGGACCCCAGGTGACTGGGAACAGTTGGGTTTGGACCATTACCTACAGTCCCCACTTCCCCTTAAACCAGCTGTTTTCAACTTCTCAGGTGGTTAGACAATGACTCATGCTTCCTTCTACCTTTGTGTTTACCAAATTATTTTTTATGACTATGTTCTACTTTTATAACAAATAACAGAAAACTGCTAATTAAAAAGTGTCCCCAGAAGATTCAGAGCTTGGACCCTGGAGGTCCTGTGCTGTCCTACTGGCCTGCCCAGGTCTCGGTGTGTACTGCCAGTGGCTGTCTAGAAAGCAGTTCCCAGTGTCTGGCTTTAAGTTCCAATCTTTGGTACTTACATTGTTGCTTTTACAGCCTGATCCCTCAGACCTGGTCTCGAGAGGGTGCCATGGTGATTGTGGTCTGTTCTCAAGGTGCTCTGTGCAAAAGAATACCCAGCCCCGGTCAAAGAACCAATGCTTAAGGGCTAACAAAAGCCAGGGAGGGGAACTTTCTCCCTGAACAGATGGGTTCATCAGCCTCACCAGCAGCAGGCCCCAGTACTGCCCTTGCTCATCTTTCTGGCTTGCAAAAGATCCCTTGTACCCATTCCTGGGACTGACAACTGTCTTCACTCTAAAGGCAGCCTTCCAGCTGATGTTCCAGGGTGTCACCACCTTTTGAAACCACAGCCCTATGTGCTCATGCAGGTACATTCAAATAAAAGCCCACTACGACACAGCAAGGTTACTAATTTAGCTTGTCTTTGGAGGTGATATTCCAAGCCTTTAGCCATAGCTGATGACATGGGCTGCAGTCACTGGATTCTTTCCCATTCTCTGCCCAGGATAGTTATTAGGCCAAGAAGCTTCCTGTTCCTTGTGGTCTTTGTACTAGCACTAACACAAAAACATCAGTCTCCCAACTCAGTTTTGTAAAATGACTTTGTATAGAAGCCAGCCAAAGAACTGCAAGCCTCTCTGCATTGACAATTCCCCTGTTCAGGAGTGCTGCTAGACCAGTACAGCTGGTAGGCTGCAGTGTTCTTGGCAAAAAGCCTTGTTTGTAAAGGGGGAAGGGAAGAGGGCAACGGTATCCTTTGGGCTTCAGACAGGAAGCAGCATTAAGAGGTCTGCCTTAAGTGCTCTTATGCTTGCATTTTGGTAGCCTTCAAAACACCACAGAATCTCCCCCACATTTCAGAAAGAATGACAACTAAATGGTTCAGGTTGATGGAGCCTGAGAAGATCCTTTCAGAGATAGGCTCTGGTTCCCTCTAGACAAGTTCCCAACCCAGTGGCACATTAAGGATCCCAGTCTTCCAGGTAAGACTTTAGATCAGCTAACTTCCCCCCAAAAGACTACAGAAGCATCATACTTGTAATCATGACCATCACATGTAAAGACCTCTTTAACCAGCTAAATGGTTATTTGCTTTCTCTCAGCAGAGTATACTCTCTATCTATTAGTCTTCCCAAACATATTATTCCAAAAGTCACTGATAAAAGCATCATGTGACCAAGCTTTAGCACTCAGTCAATGGCAGAGTTCCTACAAGTCAGTCCACGCAGGCTTCTCACCCAAGTCTGAATCCTCCATACGCCCAAGAGGAAGCTTGGAGCCCTTCCTTCTAGGGTTCTTGATTTCAACTAGCAAGGAGCTAATGTTGCATAGCTGAGAGAGTCAAGTACCAAATATGGTTTGTAATGAACACATCTCCTTCACCTTTTCGGCCCAAGTGAAAAGAAGCCCTAGCCCATGCTATGAAAAGGAAATTTACAAACTTCAAGACATTCCTGACAAAACTGTAGTGATGTGGGGAGAAATTATTGAAAGAATGGCACACAAATCTAATTGTGTATTCTTTTTCAAAGGATAGAGAAAAAAATGTCTATGTTGTATACTAGAATAACTGAAGATTACTCTCATCTTTCCCCTTATCTGACAACAGCTCAGTTTCTTCCTAACTAGATGGGAAGTGAAGTGACAGGGCTACCATCTTGGCACAGGCCCCTGTCCTGTGGACAATTTCATTGTCCTGTAATAGCTTTCCAAATATTGACTTTCTATTTACATACGTAATCCCCACACAACTGAGAGTCCTTTGGAACTTTGCACTGCTGAATGCAATAGAAAGAAATTGTAAAAAATGCCACCAAGACCTAAAAATTTGATCCCCATCATTAAAACTTGAGAGAACTGACAGATCAAAATACCTTAGACATAACTCTAAATTGTGCTATGAGCCCCACGGTTCTCTCTTAAAAGAGTACTAAATGAATAAGTAGATAGGTACCTTGTTTACTGAGCACAAAACAGACTGTTACTAAATAAGGCATCTTTAATAGATTTCTTTTCCACTACCTTCCACCTACATGAGTGAGAATTTTTAGATCAGTTCCAGAAGTTATTCATATTCATGGAACTTTTAATTTTTTTCGGTGTATAGACTCAAGGATACAGAAGGGAAAAAAATTTGGTATTGATAAGTCATAGTCCTTTTAATCAGAGACCAGAAAATGTTCTTATAGCCAGACTTTACTTGTTTACATTGAAAAAAAAAGGTGGAAAATGGTGGTCAAGAAAACCTCTTCACTGGAGAGATGCAAGTCTGTACCTAACTCTAAAGCAACTAAAGTATTTTCACAAACTGGGATGAATATTTAAATTCAGTAGAATTTCTAAAACTGAACTCAATCACTTACTATCTCTTAAGGGGTAGTACAGTTACTTGCTGAAAGACCAGACTGCCTAGGTTCAAATCCTGCTCTATCACTTACTAGCTGGTTGACCTTGAGCAAGTCACTTAATCTCTCTGTACCTAGCTTCCTCATCTGTAATAGTACCTACCCTCATAGGATTACTCTGAGTTTGAAATGTGATAATATATGTTAAAGTGGTTAGAAAAGTGCCTTACACAGAGTGTTGTATGTTAGAAGTAGTATTACAGAGGATTGCATCACAAATGCATTTAAACTTTAACATGAATCCAACTTTGTACCAAATAAATAATAAACTTAGTTCTATAGCCTCTTACTATACCATACCTTTATACATTTACCCAGAGTTTAAAAGTAAACATTTTTTGGTATGACATAACCTTGTAAATTAAAGGTTTACATCTGGTACTCAACCAAAGAAATAGGAATCTGTTCCAAGGCTGAAGAAGAAAACTGCAGGGTAATTGAGAGATGGAACGTTCCTAAGAATTTTCTCCAATGGGAATGTGGACTAGGTATGAGTTTTATACATGTGTTGAATTTAGGAGTTAGAGCTCATTGACTCCCTGCACAGTAAGATGTAACTCCCTTATAACTATCTATCAATACTTGAAATATTTCAGTTTTAAATAGGGAAAGGAAAATAGGTTAAGGATAAAAATATATTTGGAAGCAGTATCCAAACAGCATTTAATGAAATAAAAGGGGAAACTCTCATAGCTACTGTGTATTTAAGAGTCAGTCACCGGAGTAAATAAATGTCTATAGAAACTGTAATTTGTTTTAGAGCTAAATATATAAAAGCATCACACATTTAATAGGACCAAAAAGTACCTTTAAATGCAGTATCTTTTTTTTTTTGGCTATAATTCCAGTGAGTGAACTCTCATTTGTATCAAAAGATCATACACTTACCCCAAAATGTGCCAAGTAATAACTGTTTTTTTTGTAAGGAAGATCAGCCCTGAGCTAACATCCAATGCCAATCCTCCTCTTTTTTGCTGAGGAAGATTGGCCCTGGGCTAACATCTGTGCCCATCTTCCTCTACTTTATATGGGACGCCGCCACAGCATGGCTTGACAAGCAGTGCATCGGTGCGCGCCCAGGATCCGAACCAGCGAACCCCGGGCTGCCGAAGAGGAGCGCGCTCACTTAACCACTGCGCCACTGGGCCAGCCCCCAAGTAATAACTTTTAAAGGGAAATATCAGCACTTATCCTTCCAGTGTTAAACTTTGCTTAAATAAACAGAAACTGTAGAAACTGCCATCCTACAGTCTTCCAACAGAGAAGCTTATTAAGCTACTATGAGTATGACAACAAACTCCTGGGGTTACTGAAATAGCTGTTTTAACTACTAGAAAGACTACACAGGTGGTTCAACAGAATTTACTTGTATATTTTCCATTTTCTATACTATTTGAAGGCATAGGATAGCTTTATATTAGCTTTCTACAATACTGTGTTTTAAATTTATCCAGTAAACTAAGATGCAGTACAAGTTTTATACAACTTAGGAGATAAAAAAAAAAATCTCCACAAGAGAAAGCAACTCAGTAGGTCCTAGTATTAAAACATTTTTCCAGAATAAACAGATATGCAATTGCATTAAAAGGCAGTTTTCAAATATTTAAATCATACCACGACTCCTTGCAAATATCTGCTCTGCTCAAACCAATGCAACCAATTCTTACTCATTGTTAATAGTGGGGCATGGATTTTTGTAAATGTTTATGGTTTTACTTTCTTCATTATAACAAAAGTCTTTTAAAGTGCTATCAAACAGCAAAATAAGTTGCATCAACTCTGCTTAAGGTAGAGGTGCCAATTCCTCCTGACAAAGGTGCAAAGTGTGAAATTGTAAAAGGTACAGTTTAACAGTAAGTAGTGCATGAAGAAACAGTAACAAGTGGCCTGAATACAGAGTTGGACAGAATCAGACCAGTTACATCTATAATCGCTCAACTGAAACTGATATAGGTACATTCAAATTGAAGTTTGAGATTATAACTGCTGTTTAGAATCAAATTTGAAGAATTTCTTGATAAAATATAAATCTGTTCTTTTGATACTGGAAATGAAACAATCAACTAATGGAGAGCTAGAGACTTATTAACCCCTCCTACACAGATAAGGAAATAAGTGACAAAGTCTCTTGCACTGAAGTATGTATTTTAACAGCTTTACATGTAATATTCATATATAAAAAACTTTAAGTGCTTTTCTCCAATTTAAAAATCTAAAGAATTCAAAAATAAGGCATTCAATATTTGAAAAAAGTACAGATTTACAAAATGTGTATATTCTGTCATGAAAACTTCACACCAACATTATACACTTGGAAAAAAATACAAACAGGATATATTACAAATTTATGTAAGCAATAACTTAGTTCACACCATGCAATAAAAAGTACATTAATCAAGATACACAAGCTTTTGTAGGTTCTAAACTGAAGGACTTTTTTTTTTCTGCAGAATCCTTAAAACCTGTGGCACTTAAAATTTGTTAGCCTTTCTACTGAGAGGTAAATTATACACAACAATGATGAAAAAGATTAACAGACCAGTTGTCTATTATGAATCATTCCAGCTTTGTTCAACAATGGCTGAAACTCTTTTCTCATATTCTCGTTTGTTTTCCTGATAAAGCTGTGCTGCCTGGCTATTGGCTGGACTGTTTGGATTTGGTTCATCCAGCAGAGACTAGAAGGAAAGAGAGAAAAAAACAGATTTGCAGTTCTTTTTTTATATTAACATGGCTCAGATATGGAGCACAGAAGTTATACAAAACAGAAATTATTCAATGAAGAAATGGCAGAAATTAGTATGACTTACATATATTTAGATCTAAATATTTTCAGAAATGGCTTGATAAATACAGTAAGAAGTTTCCTGCTGCTAGAGAACTTAAGCTTCCAAAACAAATAGCTCTCAATTGCCTTAAGACCTCTCTTTTTCCAAAAAATTGGAAAAGAACAATATTCTTCAGCATACTCAGACATTAATGAGGAAATAAACAGTTTGATTTAGTTAATATACAATACCTATAAATAGCTTAGCAACTAACATTTTTCCAAAATTAAACTCTATTACTGTGGTTACTTTGCAAATGTCTGACAGTAAATTGGGTAGTGAATCTCGTTTCCTTTAATCAACAAAACATATACCTCTAGCAGCAAAGGAATGAAATAGGAAGACTGAAAACAGTGTTTAAAAGATGACCCAAATTAAAGCAGAAGTGTGATGAAAAAAGCTTTAAAAAGGTCACAAACCAAAATGTTACTCCTGTTCCTCTCAAATCCATCTAACTAACAGATCCCTCACTCCACCCCTCCCCAAAACTGTCATTCAAGGTCAACTCTGAAATATTCTGCCAGAGTGCTTCGGCAAATAGTTAACACTACTTACTTTTTTTCAAATTGAATGTCTTGGATGAGGCAACACACTTAGTGCTTCTCTGCACTTGGCAGTTTCTTGAGGTCCCTATGGTTTTTCTAAGCAATTATCTTTCTCTCTCCCCAAGATTTTTCATTCTTCTCTATAACCTCTGGCTATGCTTCGTGGGCATGACTAATACTTGACCTGTGATAACACTTAACTTACACATGATCGGAAAAATGATTGTGGATTTGATCCAAGGTGGTCACTAACGAAAAAGCAAACTAGTTGTCTGAAAATCATGGGTTTCTGTCTGAGCTGTGGCATTTGCTACCCAGGTGCTGGGAAGGTTAGCTTGGTCCTTTAGATTGTTCCTAAAGGAGCCGACTGTATCCCACAGAATCTTGAAAAATTATGATGCATCCTAACACACACTTACCTGAATTGATGTTAAAATAGAAGATACATCATATGTTGGACTCCATCGATTCTGAAGGATATCTAAACATATGCTACCATCAGCGTACACTGAAAAGACAACACTAAAATTGGTTACATATTAACTCTGTCATATCTAAGCTACAAGAAATCTTTACCACAAACAGAATGCTTGGCCCAGTCAGAAGTTTTGAACATTAGTCAATAACTAAACCCTTCTGTCTCACAGGAAAACCAGTCTTAAAACTAAGGTCTCTTATTTTGCACCTTTTCATCAGGAGGTGATGAGGTGATGATTTTTTCAACACACCCCATATATGCAAATCTATTTAAATTCCATATTTCTAAATATTCTTACATAAAACTCTTGAAAAGAAAAAAGCTTACTTTTGAACATAGCAATTCCACTCCAAGAAATTATTCTAAAAGAAATTATGGATATGCATAATAGATGGATGTTCACTATAATACTATTTATAAGAGTGAAAAATTAGAAACTACCTTGTGGCCCCTAAAGAGGGGACTGGCTAAATAATGGTACATTCATATAACCAATACCAATGTAGCCATGAGAAATGATATACATCTACCTTATGTTGATTAATGTAGAAAGACATCCACAATATCTTACCTTAATAAGTTTCCAATTATTTATATAGGATAATTCCATTTTTGTAAAGAATTATACATAAATATTTTCATTTGAAGTATATGCAGTCACAAAAACATCTGTAAGACTAAATGCCAAAATCTAAGTAGTGGATATCTGTAGATAGTAGAATTATAAAGGATCTTATTTTCTTTACCCTTTCTTATATTTTATACTTGTTTTTGCAATAGGTATGCATTCTTTTCATAATCAAAAATAAAAATCAAGTGATTAACATGTTTTAAAAGTCTTTAACATCTGGGAGGCTTTTTTTCTCTTTTGAACTGATTATGTGCGAATATAAACAATGAATATCATTTTTATCCACTTGTGAGACTATATCTGTACAATAAATTTCCAGAAATAGAACTGCTGTGTTGACAAAGGGTAAATGCACTTCCATGTTACAGATACTGCTCAATTGCAGAAAGCTTCATGGAGCAAGCCAGATCACTCTACATAAAAACAGAAGGCTTCTGGGGGGAGAAGAGGCCAACTACACTTAAATACTGTCATTCCTCAGGGGTCTATCCTTGGTCCTCTTCCTTCTTACCCTTCACACACCCTCTGGGCAATGTTATTCACTCCCATGGCCTCAGTTACTATCTGTATGCTAGGTACTTCAATTGTTAGCTTTGGACCAGATTTAACTCTCAGTTTTAAAGCAGCATAGTCAGTGCTCACTGTCTATCCTACAGGAACATCAAACTTAGCAAGCCCAAAGCAAAAATCATCACCTCTATAAAACCCATAAAAGTATAAAGTGATTTTAAAGCTCTGACCTAATAACTATTTTTGAGAAGTAATTCAAAAGTAAACTAGAAACTAAACATCCATCAACTGATGAATGGATAAACAAAATACAGTATATCCATACAATGGAATACCATTCAGCAATAAAAGGAAATGAGGTACAGATATGTATTACAACATGGATGAACCCTGAAAACTACACTAGTTGAAAGAAGTTAGTTACAAAGGACCAGATATATTATATGATTTCATTTATATGAAATGTCCAGAAAAGGCAAATCTATAGAGACAGAAAATAAATCAGTGGTTGCCCAAGGCTGAGGGGTTGGGACAAATGGGGAGTGATTGCTAATAGACATGGGATTTTTAGGGGAAGGTGATAAAAATGTTCTAAAATTGATTATGGTGATGGTTGCACAAGTCAGTGAATATACTAAAAACCACTGAATTGTACAATTTGAATGGCTGAATAGTATGCTATGTGAATTATATTTCAATAAAGATGTTTTTTAAAAAGTAAACCAGAAAGTTCCCTATAAATTTGTTAAGGTTGAAAATGCTACACCTATACACATGTACCCCCCTGCACATTCTATAGTCTTTCCCACCTTGATTTACAGAGCCCCCTTACTACAGTTTGGGTTGATTCAATACCAAGTCTAAGCCAGATAAAGCTACAGTGGAATAAATGGTAAGTGACTTGGGAATTTCCCCAAAACAGAAACAGAAAATAAAATTAAACCTGTCTTGGCTTAAAACAAAACAAAACAAAAGGCAGCCGGAAGGAAAAAGCAACTTTACAGTAATAAAGTACCAAAGGCTAAATCTATTATTGGGAAGTCATCTTGATTCCAGATACACACACACACCTCTCCTCTGAGTAGGGCGCTCTATCTGCTTGTAGCCCACTCATGTAGCCTGAAGTACTAGACTAGATGCATAGCCTAGAGGATCTCTGAAGAGCTTCCTCCTGAAAGTAAGTTAACTAGCAGGGAAGACCACATTTAAAGGAGCAAAGATTACAAAAAGGAGAGCGAGCTTCAATATTTTGGAAAAAAAGTTTTTCATATAGTAATTTATAATCCAGGAATACCAAGGTATTATAAGTAAACAGCAAGAAGTCAGGGAAAAGCAAATTGAATTACAAAAGAGTCACTTAGCAATCATTTGTCGAAAATAGTAATAAAATAAACTTCCAAAAGTGAAAATAGTAATGAGAGAAAAAATGGAAAAATGTATTAAAAAAGCCTTAAAAACATACAAACCTTTGAGCCAGATCCTACTTCTAAAAACTTATTCTAAAGAAATATTCATGGGTATGTGAGATTTATTTTCAAGAATGTTCAAAGTGCTGTTTAAAATTGTAAACAATTGAAAATCACTAACAATTGGACACTGATTAAATAAATAATGGGGGCCAGCCTGGTGGTGTAGTGGTTAAGTTTGCGCGCTCTGCTTCGGCGGCCTGGGATTTGTGGTTTCGGATCCTGGGCGCAGACCTACACACTGCTCATCAAGCCATGCTGTGGCAGTGTCCCACATACAAAATAGAGGAAGACTGGCACAGATGTTAGCTCAGGAACAACCTTCCTTAAGCAAAAAGAGGAAGATTGGCAACAGATGTTAGCTCAGGGCCAATCTTCCTCACCAATCAATCAATCAATCAACAATGGTAAACTCATATAACAGAACATTTTGCAGCCATTAAGAATGATGCAAAAGAGGGGGCAGCCTGGTGGTGTAGTGGTTGGGTTCGCGTGCTCCGCTTCAGTGGCCTGGGGTTCACGGGTTCAGATCCCAGGCGTGGACATACACACCGCTCATCAAGCCATGCTGTGGTGGTGTCTCACGTACAAAATAGAGGGAGATGGGCGCAGATGTTAGCTCAGGGCCAATCTTCCTCACAAAAAAAAAAATCATGCAAAAGAATATTTAAATATGGGAAAATGTTCATAGTACATAAAAAAATTATTTTACATACAACATGATCTCAATTTTCAATGAGCATTTATTTGTATTTTTTAAAAGCTAAATTTTAAGTGACAAATTCTTTTTGGTATCTTTCACATTTCTATAAATAAATAGATATTACTTTAAAATCAGAAGTTACTAAAACAACTTCACCTCAAATTTGGAACCTTGATAAGATCCCAGACTACAAAAACGTGGCTAATACTGACATGGAAGCAACATGTAGAAATGGGCCCTAATAGTGAGAAGTATGGAGCAAGACCTAAAAGGAAGGAAACAACTCTTTTTTCTCCCTATCATTTGCAAAGTCTAATAAATTGCTACTTACCATTTGGATGAAACATTTTGGATAAAAACCTAACAGTTGGTGGTTTATTTGGATATTCTTCAGAAAATTCTATTACTAGTTTAAAAGTACCTAGATAGAAAACAAACCAAAATAACTGTAAAGACAAGCATAACTTTTAAATCTCTTCATCAGTGAATTCCCAACCCCATACTGATTTCTGCATAATCGCACAAAAATTAATGTGAATTTTGGTTTAGCACATAAAACATACTAAATAGTCTTCTGTTTATGTTAGACTGATACACAGCATTGGCAAGCACTTGGGGAACAAACACTTTCATATGCTATTGGTGGGAATGTTGACTGTCATATTTTTGGAAGGCAGTTTGGTCCTAGCTACCAAAATTTAAAATGCACATTTGGGGAACTACAGATAGTTTATTATAGCTTAGAAAGGGGTGCCAAAGGATTTTGAGAGGGGATAACTACCACATGACAAAGGACTCAGATTAGTGCATGGGCACTGATGTGAAAGGTCTGTCCTGTCCCCATACCAATCCTTTCAATATGCCAAGAATCAGTAAGCATTAATGTAATTGCCTACTATTGGTTACAGACCAACACAGTACATTTTGGTCAGTCTAAATCAGTATTTTATGGTCAACTGAGACATAGGCATTTTTAAAAATTATGTATTTGTAACAAAGTCGATCTGTTTATAGTATACAAAGAAGTTAAGAACTCTCAACTCCAATTCCAAATCTACTTTGCGGAAATAACCACTATTAATGGTTTTGTGTTTGTCTTTCTAGACTTCTTTTGTGTTTATTCACTATCCAGAGTCCTTTCATTTTGAGGAAACCCACCTGAAGGTTGGAGAGGTCCTCTAATACAACCCCTTGGACATAGTCAAAAAGTTGAAACTTATTCCTAATGAAGTCAGTAAAAGTTTAAAACATTCCAGATGTCTCTACAAGGTTCTTTCCTTATTTCATCAAAGTACTTAAAAAAAAAAAAACCCTTTCTCAATCTAAATTCTAAGCTCCTGGCTTCAGTCTACCAAGATTAGAAGTATGTATTTAGTAAAATATTTTATATTTTATCTTCACTAGTCATATATTTGGTATACAATCTCTACCTCTACATTTTTTGTTGTTTGGAAATCTGGGATTAGGGAAGCCAATACAAGCAAAATCAATGGTGATATCTATTTCATATTTTGATATATTAATAGAGATACTAGGAAATGCACCATTAGTGAAGACAGACTTATACCTAATTATGTATTTTTTTAAAGTTTACATTTTAATTTTCTTTAATTACAAAAATATATACTGTAAAAATTTCAGCAAATGCAAATATGAAACAGCTATTTTTAAGTTTTTTTTTTTCATATTATGGGGTCTCAGGACCCTTTTACACTTACTCCCAACCATGGCTAAGTTTCCAGTTGTGAATGTGAAGCTGGGAAGAGATGCAAGCAATAGCAGACCATTTTATGGTATTTCCACGAAAAATGAAAAATAATTTCATTTTAAAATATTGGCTCTTTAACGACCAGCTTGCAAAAATTCCCAAAATTTTCAACAATCTGTTCTCACAAATTGGTACAAGCTGCCTTCAGCATACCACTGGCTATAACTACCGATATTTGTTGTATTAGAAATTACATAAAATTTTCTTAAAATATTTATTCATTAATAATTATAAACTCACTACCTATTAACCTAAGTAACATTAAACGAAAAATAACTATACCTCCCCCAAAGTTAGTGAGAAGTGTAGCGTTGTTTTACATTTTTACAAGTCTCTTTAAAGACTGGCTTAATAGCAGACAGTCGGATTTTCTTAGCTGCTTCTGCATTCAGTCTGCTGCAATATGCTGTTCTGATTGAGGTACATTAAGAAAATCAGGCGTCACACAAATATGTAAACGAAAAAGGATGGAGTTTTTTCATAGCCTTGTCAGATAATTGTAGATGTTCTTTTTTGATATTACACCAAAGAAATAGTAGGTTTTTAAAGGTTAGTTGCAATGTAGAATCTGAAACTATATAAACTTTTTACATCAGTTACATTAAAATCTGTTGCACATTGCATAAATTTATCCATCCATAATTTCTAATATACATTGGTCATTTGGAAAATACTGGTTTACTAAGTTACATAAATCTTCTAAGTGTTCTCATATTTCATTACATAGCATCAAAAAAAAATCACAATAGGTAATACCACCTACTAATCTCATCAGAGAAGACTCAAAGTATTGGAAGCCGTCATTTTATCACTAGCAACAAATATTGTCACTTTCCTTGACCTAATAGCTCACTTAGGTCACTTTTGAGAATACATCTGCCAAATACTCAAATCTAAATAACCAGTTTGTTTGTCAGTCATTCTTTCAAGTAAAAATGTTCCATGAAAAAAGCAGTAGTTCAAGTTGCAACTCAAACTACTGCAGAAGTGCTTTTCCCTCCAGACAACCATCCTACTTTCGTATGCAAGAGAAGTGCTTTATGCATATTTCCCACTTCATCACACAGAATTCTAAAAAGACGTACATTCAAGGGTCAGAATTTAATAATAATAATTATTTCTACTTTTCCATCAAGATATTTTTAAGGGAAACTGGCATCTTTTAAAATGCAAAGAATACAATGACTATTAGTACAGTTTGGTGCCACTGTCTAGATTTGTGCCCAGATGCTAACCTGCTTAGGTCCAGTTTTAGCCACTAATGCTTTTGTACCATGAGTGCAAATGTTAATACAGTGAAAAAGGCAAATGTCTTACTATTGGTATAAAGATAGTTTTGATCACATGGAACCCTTGAAAGGGTCTCAGGGATCTTAAAGGGTTTACGGACCACTCTTGAGAACCCTCTGGTATAAAGTAAAAAAGCTGAAGCCCTTAAGTACCCCTGCCTTCAATTCCTTACCCCCACCTAGAGGTAACCACTAATAGTGTGGTATATAACCCTTTAACACACCCATTAGTAAAAATGTGATACTAAAACATACATTATTCTGCAACTTTTTTGTCTCCTCAGACATATGTCCAGATCTACCTTATTATTTAATAGGTACATAATATTCCAAAGTCTAGATATATCATCACTTGCTTAACCATTTCCCTTATTGGGCATTCCGGTTATCTCCTTAAAAATAGTGCTGCAATCAATATCTTTGTACAAATATTCTTGCTGGGTTAATTCCGAAGCCATTTTGATCATTAAAAGAAACTTATTTAACAATTTTTTAAAAAATCCATGCTATGCTTAGGGAAAATCTCAGTATCTGGTTAAAATGAATTTGAGAAGCTCAATTATAAATATATATTGGAACTAGTTTTCCATTTTCCTGGCTTTTGGTGAAAATACTGAATTTAAGTTGCAAAAGATCATGCAGAATGCTAACTATGGCTGTTAGATGCTAGCTGTATGTGAAGCTACTGGCAGCTTAGTACGCTGAAGAACAATTTCAGCTCAACACCCCATCAATACAGATAAAGTTAAAACAGCATGACTACCCTCCTAGCGTTTACCTCAGGGACATCTTTAGCATGCTACAAGGCCTTCTAAATTTAAACTATTCTCAACATAGACTCTACCATCTAAGCTTACAGTTCTACAGCCAAATATCTAACAGAGGCAACTGGCAATGGAAGTGATCAAGCTGATGTGGGAAGAAAGTCCTTTGTAAACTATAAATTCTCAGTAGCATTATTTAGTTTTAATTTGACCTATTAACAATAGAAAACAGCTTTAAGTAGACACACTGGTGTTACAAGTTCCTACTTAAAAGTAGCCTCTTAATACTACAGAAAACATAACGAAAATGACTTACCATCTTCAAAGGGTGTCCCTTCTGGTCTGAAAACAAGAAGATTTCTGATTAAAAGAAGTTTTTCATTCTGATATTCAAGAAGAAAGGATAAACTCAGAGAAAGAGGGGCACATTCTAATGATTTGTGGAGTTTTTAAGATATTGTTAGTTTAGTATCATCTTAGCCCTGGATTTTATAGATGTTGGCAATAAAGGGAACTTTCATTTTCTAAGTTTTCCTTTTAGGGTGGTTTTACAAAAAAAAAAAAAAAAACCCATAAAGACTTGTCATAATTTTAGCACAAAAAGAATTCAGTTCATAAATACCAACCAGTAAATTTTTTTAAGTTATTTATTTATTTATTTTGTGAGGAAGATCAGCCCTGAGCTAACATCCATGCCAGTCCTCCTCTTTCTGCTGAGGAAGACTGGCCCTGGGCTAACATCCGTGCGGATCTTCCTCCACTTTATGTGGGACGCCGCCATAGCATAGCCTGACAAGCGGTGTGTCGGTGTGCGCCCGGGATCCGAACCTGGGCCGCCAGCAGCAGAGCGCGCGCACTTAACCGCTACGCCATGGGGCCGGCCCCCCAACCAGTAATTTTGTAAATATGTTTATTCTTAAGAGAAAAAGTCATATTTTCAATTTACATCAATAAGATGGAAATCAATACCCTTTAAGATAATTATAACACCAAACCAAAGTCTCCTGCTTTTCAACAGAGCAATAGCTCTTGTTCAAATTGGCTAGACATAACTGTCACCAAGAAAGCCAGTTTCTTTTGTTCAAATCGCTTCCTTGCCTCCATATTCCAATTTCATCTTTCCTAAGTAGCAGCTTGAAGTTTATTACCTGCAAGGCACATTCAGGATTTCAAAGAAGCACGATGATAGCCTGAATTTAATATAATCACTTTACTTTAGAGGGTGAACTATGCTCATTTTTCTACTAGTCTTTTTTTTTTTTTTTTTGTGAGGAAGATCAGCCCTGAGCTAACATCCAATACCAATCCTCCTCTTTTTTTGCTGAGGAAAATCAGCCCTGAGCTAACATCCGTGCCCATCTTCCTCCACTTTATATGGGACGCCACCACAGCATGGCTTGCCAAGCGGTGCGTTCGTACGCGCCCGGGATCCGAACCTGCGAAGCCGGGGCTGCTGAAGCAGAGTGCGAGCACTTAACCGCTTGGGCCACTGGGCCGGGCCCTCTACTAGTCTTTACCATAGATTTTTATAACTGATTCACTGGCAACTCAGAATTCTGTTCATGAAAATATTCCTTCAAAGTTTCAGTGCAAAAACTAATTTTAAAAAGGTAAAAGAAAAAAGATCAAGTCCAGGAAAACCAAAGAAAAGACATAAGGAAATTTTGAAGTAAAAAGTATATATGCAGGCCTGGCCCTGGTGCTGAGCGGTTTAAGTTCTGGGTGCTCCGCTTCAGCGGCCCAGGTTCATGGGTTCCAACCTACTCCACTTACCAGCCATGCTGTGGAGGTGTCCCACATAGAAAAAGAAATAGAGGAAGATTGGCACAGATGTTAGCTCAGGGCTAATCTTCCTCATACAAAAAAGAGGAAGACTGGCAACGGATGTTAGCTGAGGGTGAATCTTCCTCAGCAAAAAAAAAAAAAAAAAAGCATCTATGCAATATATTTAACATGTAAAATGTAGTTGCTTCTCAAAAGGCTTCATTCAGTTATTTCACATTGGGTTGTGAAACATTTTTCATTTAAATTCTTGCCATAGTGCAAGTTCTCAATACCTTTTTACAGTTCCAACAGAAGGCAAGCAAAAACATTTGCTTGGTACATTTTGTACAAAATAATTTATCTATTCTCCTTTAGTTTCAAATGGTATTTTTATCAAGTAAAACCCAATGTGATTATAAAATTATACATAGTAACAGTAAAATGCAAATAAATTTTATGTAACTGCCAAAACTCTCATCAAAATGTTTTTTTCTGATTTAGCCTTGTAGTTTCTGTAAGATCCCTGATTTCACCTCAGCCTCTTTTCCTAGTTCTTATACATTCACTGTTCTTAAAGAATCACCACACCTATCACCTGTTTTATCTTTCAACTCACCCAAATATAACTGCATTCCACTGCATGATGTTGTTTTCAGATGGTGCACCACTGACACCCACAGGTGGGTCCTCTTGCAATCTAGAAATCCAGAGTAGTAATTTTAAAAGTTGAACATGAAGGCCACTAAGAAGGCCAAACAGAACACCTATGGACTCTATACTATCTACTCTGAGACACACACTAAATCCATTTTCTTGTTCTTGTGCTGAGCTGGAACAAACCGTGACAAAAAAAAAAATCGACCAGGTATATACTTATTAAATACCTCTCCAAATTATCTAAAATTCCAAAGGGCTTAGGAATCATCCCTCTTCAAATATCACTGAGTTTAAGATATCTCTTCAAGAAGTGAGGTATACAGACTGCCCTCAACCAGAAAAAGGACCCTCGAGTGCAAAAAATATTTTTACAGCACAATCAACTGTGCTGCTATAAACACACAAAGACTGAGTCCTAACCACAGCTACTTGTACAACATGACCACCAAAACAAAAACCCCAAAACAAAAACAATTCAGTGTAAGTACTCAACGACTGAAAATACTTATATTCAGTTTCATTAGGAAACTGGTTTTAGGTAGGAAAGTTACTTTATCCCACCAGCCTCAATTAGCAATGGCTTTTAAAGTAATCAACGCTTTAGTTAAGCTGCCAACAGCCCCTATTTTAAAGGCTCTGCACTAACACTAAATCCACCTCTTACATGAGGAGACTCAATACAAAGCTACCTTCCGATATTTGTGACAGTGAAATTCTTGTAACCTGAAGACCCTTGGAAAATTACCAGAGGCGCCATGTGTTCAACTCAGAATTAAGGAGAGAATCTCTTAAGAAAGCAGGGTAACAATGGACACAAACTGGAAGTTTCATTACCTGAGTTTCATTCACAGGCGCTAATCTCAAGTCTACTGATTTCAAGCGTTAGAAGACGTTTGCACCAAAGAAGCATCCCCTTTTAAAGACTACCAACTCAGGAAAAAATAAATGCTACATTATACATATAGATATATATGTAGTGACTGTCATGTGGTATGCTACTTTGAAATCAGTCCACATAAAAATCGTTCTTTTTAGTCAACCTCAAGTAGATTAGGCCACGATGAACAGAAGCCTTAGAGGAATTACGCTGCCTGACGCCCACCAAAGGTAAATGGCTAAGAGAAGTTACAAACATATTCAATGATAAACGGGCCAAGGCCCAAAACAATGGCTTCCAAATGCCTCACCTGCGGCTTTTTAATGGCGAAGTCGAGAGATTACTTCCTGAGCGACTGATATTGTTTTTACATTAGATATTGTGTCTCAACTAGGGAAGGTCTCCCCAGAAAAACATTTAAAATGCGCAGAGGATCGCATTGCTAAGTTTTCTCATTTTATTCCGTACTTCCAGGTATTCAAAGGTAAACAAGTGAAAAAAAGTCACTTCCTCCTCACTAACCCCAACACCTCCTAACAAAACCCTGTTTTACAAAAGGAGGCCCAGGAGGTATCAGGTTAGCGCCAGTCTCAAGGAAGGCATTTTTCCAGACTTTGGAGGCTATAGATAGGGCTTTATACACCAGGCCACAGAGCTGAATTCCAGAAGGTACTGGCAGCCGGGGTTGCCAGCCCGAGGCCCAGGTCTCTAAGCCAGCACTCAAGGTCCTTTCAGGCGGGCGGGGAGAGTCGGGTTTCGGAGGATGGGTTAACCACCTCCAGACCACGCGCTGCAGACCCCACCCTCACTGCGAGGGGCGGGGGGGGGGGGACTTCGCCCCAACCCTGCCCCTCAGAGGAGACAGCAGGGCCATCGAACAAAGCTGACTAGTGCAGCAAGCGGCGAAAAAGCTTCTGCAAAGGCTCGCTCTTACGGGACAGGGAGGGGGCACCGGGGAGGAGGGGGGATGAGGTACAAGCTCTAGGGTGAGACGTCGGGCAGCTGGTCCAAGTGGGCAGCCAGAGAATCCTAGGACAGCCCAAAGCCATCTTTTTACTTTTGGAGGCGGGGATAGGGTACCGAAATTTTTTACGTCGGAAGAGTGAGCAAGCAAGGATTGAGGGACTGCGGCCGGGAGCTAGGACTGGGCTTCCGTCGGTCCCGCTGGGCCCAAAAGCCGGCCCTTAGGGTCAAGAGAGAAAGGTGTCCCGGATCCCCGCCCTGCTGCCCCGCAGCTTTGGGGAGGAGCCGTCAGCCGGGCGAAGATGAGGGCCCTTACCGCTTGAAATCCCGCATGAGCCTCCTCCGGGCCGGGGTCGACATGCTCCCCACCTGCCCCGCGATCAGTCTGAAAAAAAAGAGTCCCGCGCAGCCCCCCCCACCCCCCGGCGCGGCGGCCGAATCACTGTGGGTCACCGCCGATGCCGAGGTTGCACAAACAACCCTACAATGACGTCTCCCTCCGCCGCCTCCAGATCCCTCCGCCCTTCGCCAGTACCACAGGGTGAGGGGTTGCGGAGGAGCGGGGGAACGTATGAAAGCTCGTTATAGGAGCCTTTCAGCAGGACTCTATATTCATTTTGACTGCCTGAACTAATCAACAAATTAGTGTTCTCCGTGCTCAGACTGGAGGTTGTGGATTAAGAGACACCCAAACCGAAACACCACCCTGTCTCTCCCCGCTTCACTAGTTTAGGCTCGACCAGGTGGGGAGAGAGGAACGCATCCGGGGCCAGAGATTTCAGGGAAGGGAGGTAGGATGACGTAAGATCACGTGACCTATGGCGACGTCAACAATCCACCCCTGAGGGGGAGGGGCGAAGTATCTAGAACCACGTGTCCCTATGACGCTACTAGAACGGATCACGTGAGAGTGCCGCTTTGGTCTGAGTCTCAGCCAGGTCTATGAAGCCGGTAGTTAATTTTACTGGGCTGAGGGCAGGGATATACTTTTATTAGTTTTCCCTCCAGTTTGTCCCATAAACAGGGACGGCAATCGAAGAGTCGTGGTGGAAGCAAAAGCTTGTTTTGCTTCTTAAGTCTTTAAAAGGGTCCCAAAATAATTTGGATTCAAAATCCTCTTTGGTTGGTTCAATGGCTTATCTGGTGTATGGGGAAGGCAGAATGAAGGGACCTCAGTTTTTGCAAAGTGCAGCATTGAATGCTGAGGCCCGCACAAAGTAAAATCTCCTGAAATGCTTAGGGCCACCAAATAGCCTGTATGTGCATTACAGTAGGGTTTCCAGGGTTGGAAATTCTAGGCAAAGATAAAAGAACAGTGTACAGATTGTCCAAGATTTGTTCACAGTCCCTATGGAATTATGGAATTTTGTTTTTCCTTTATGGGTCTGCTCTCATTTGAGGATGTGTGGAAAAGTTCATGGATTTGGCCACAATGGGGTACCTTGTATTTGTCAAGAAATGTTGGGATGAGATCTCAAGAGAGCATGTGGATGGGTGGTTGGTTGTCAGAGACACCTAAAAATAGGATTCAAATCTGTGGGAGAGATCAGGCAGATAAGGGTGGGGGTTATATATCTAGCCTGGATAACTCATTTCAGGTTTTCTATGCTAGTAAGTAAGGGGCAAATGGGCCTGAAATGCTCCCCACCAGGGGGCTCAGAGGTGTTGACCCCTGGGGATTCTGTTTCCTTCCCTCTATTGCCTCCAATTCCTGGCCTTAGGGCTTAGCTGGTCAGAAGGACTCTGAGCACTTTCATATTCTTTTGGGTAATTCTTCAGTCCAAGGTGGAAGAGGAGGATGGAATAAGGACCTTAGCATTGCCCCAAGTTGCCCATAGTTCTACAGAACTAGAAAGGGTTAACTTTCCTCACTTTCTTGGTACCTCCGTTTCTTCAAACCCTGAATTCTCTCTTGCTTTTAGTAGCTGCCTTAGAGATCAGGTTAGTCAGGCCTAACTCTTGATAGGTCCTGCTCTCATTTGCAAATATGATTCTCTACGTCAAAAGCTGAATATTCTTATTTTTTTGCCTTCCTGCCATAGCAATCCTAATCCTCCCCATAGCCAAGGGTGAAGAAACACCAGTAGTGTTACATGCAGTGAAATGCTGAGGAGAAACTTTTTTCTTTAAATCCCTATTATGTTATTTGACTAGCAATTTGTAATTGTTTTGGAAACCCACAGTTTACAGTTTTCCAAAACGAAGTAATACTTTCAACGAAATCAGTGAAGTTTTTTCATCAAAGTCCTAGAGCAGTGTATAAACAGAAATCACTGGCTGTCCTGCTTAGTAGATCTGCCAGAACCTAGCTATAGAAAGAATAGTTTTAAAGCTGTAATTTTATACCGTAGTGAGTCTGTAGCTCTAGATTGTGAGCTCACTGAGGGCAGGGACACTGATTCATGCTTTGTCTCTTGCAAACGTTTAGCCCACACAAAAAAATTTACTATGCTTTCAGCAAGTCTGGGCCCACTATAAGATTTACTATGACATTCTTACTCATAGATAGAAAATATTTTATAAGATGGTTGAATAACTTTTTAAAAGAAAAGGCAATTTGGGGGCCAGCTGGTGGCATAGTGGTTAAGTTCACAGTACTGCTTCAGCAGCCCTGGGTTTGCAGATTCAGATCCCTGGTGTGGACCTACACATCACTCATCAAGCCATGCTGTGGTAGCATCCCATATGCAAAGTAGAGGAAGACTGGCACAGATGTTAGCTCAGGGACAATCTGCCTCACCAGGAAAAAAAAAAAAGGCAATTTGGAATATTTTGGTGGTGATACAAACCATGCCCACCTCTCCTACCTCTCCCACTTCTTTCTCAGTATAAACCGTAGCAGCATAGAAACACTTAGGAAGCTTTTAACATATCAATTTCTTTACCCTACCTCATTTAAATTAGGACCTTTGAGGGTGGGGTCTCTTTAAAAGCTCTCCAGGTGTGATTTTAATGTGCATGGTGGGATGGGACCAAGTGGACTAGAATTTATTGGATAATAATGATGCTTTCTCTTATTTAGGGGAAGCATAGTGAGGTTTGGCCTTTTACATTTAACTCATAGAAAAAAGGAATGAAAGCCCTAACAAAGACGGCACTGTTGGGCACTTGCTCCATTGATATCCTTGTTTACTGGAGGCTGTCACGCCAGCAGAACCCCATCTCTAGTTCTTGAGTGGTTAGCTAACGGCCTCTTTTTTTTTTTTTTTTTGCCTTCTGTGCCCTTGTATGTCAATCTGTGTGGTAGAACCCTTTGAATTATTTACTTTCCCAAACAGGGAGTTTTAGAGTTTTGACATGTAGTAAGGGAGTTTTTAAAAACAAGAATTACCACAAGTTTGAAAAAATTTAAAAGCATAGAGAGGGTGTTCAAGAAATGTTATTAAGAATCTTCTCCTCCTTTTAAGGATTAATGTCGACTGTTGAGGTCAAACTCCGGTCTATGGAATATTAACAGAACTAGATAGCTTAGGAAACTATAATTAAACAAGACTTCCTTGGAAGTCTCTTTTTACAACTCTGCGTAATGACGCCAGCCATCCTTTAAGGACCCAGCACAAGCGGCAGGTGTTCTCTGGCGTGGAGGCATCTGCGACGCAGCTCCGACTAGCCTCTGCCCCGGTTCCCCTCCCCTAGAGGATTTGCAGTCACTCACGTTGTAGTCAAAAATACCGATCTTCCGTTATCTCCGCTCAAAACCAGCCTTGTGAGGAGGCCCCAATTTGATCGACAACAACCTCTAGTCCCTACTCCCGACCCCAACCCGGCTTCCACCTAGCACCCACCCGGCACTCGTTGCCGCCTCTCCCCGTTTGCCTTCCGGGTCCCCGGCCGCGGCGATATTCCGGTCTTGCGCAGTAGGCCACGAGCGCGAAGGGCGCGGCCCCGTTGCCATGGTAGCGGGCCGCCCGGATTTAGCGGGGACGGCGGGCTATATAGGGTCGGCGTCCTGTTGGGCTGCTGGGGCTTCGCGGAGCTAGGCAGGCGTGACTACAGCATGGGCTGAGGCGGCGGCGGCTGCCCGGACGAGGTCGACTGCGGGGCCAGGGGCGCGACACTGGTCCGGGACACTAAGACGTTTGGTTTGACGAGCGGGCGCGACCGAGGTTTTCTTGGGTCCCGGGGCCTGGTCTGTGGTCAACCGTGTTGCGGGAACCGCATATTTGACGGAGGCATAACAGGAAGTGTGAGGACCCCACCCAGGATGGATAGGTGACATGTGGTGAGGGAATCGTAAATTTTGGTGGTGATGGGAATGAGCGAGACAGCAAGGGGCTCGCTAAGTTCCGGTGCGGGCTGGGCCCTACAAGAATTCCCAAAGACAATCAGGGTCTGTGGAAAATATTCCTATCTTTTCTGTGTTTGTGTATTTTAAAGTATGAGTTTACTGTGGAAGTGCATTATCCAGCTTGAATAAATAAGGGTATAAATATTTAACTTTTTTTTTTTTTTTCTATGAAGAAGAAGCCGTCTTGAAAATGGAGATGTATGAAAGCCTTGGAAAAGTGGGAGAGGGAAGTTATGGAACAGTCATGAAGTGTAAACATAAGGAAACTGGGCAGATAGTGGCCATTAAGATATTTTATGAGAAACCAGAAAAATCTGTCAACAAAATTGCAACAAGGGAAATAAAGTTTCTGAAGGTTTGCTTCTTTTGCCTTAATTGCTTTCTGTAAGTCAAAAAAGAAATTGTTATGGAATAAAAAAATTACATAAGGATTATGTCAGTTAATACATGTATTAAGACATGTAACAGAAAAACAAGTGTGATATTCTTACTGTCTACATTTTGTAATTTTATAGTGATACAAGATATATGTCTTATGTATAATGTAACAAAAGCTATGTCAAATATTGCAAAATAGTTATTCAGAAATATCCAGGTACGTATAATACTTAATATAAATATCTGCTTTCTACAAGGCATTGTGCCAGATGCTGAGACTATAATGAGGTAAAACTGTACTTGCTCTTCAGGACTTTTATTATTTAATCAGAAAGACAGGAGGGCATATAAAAATAATACTGAATAAAAAGTGGCTCATAATAAATGCCAAGTGATTAACACAAAGTCCTGTTGGGTAGGGAAGGTTTCTTGGAGGAAATGGGGCATGAATTTGGCCTTAAAGGATGTGTAGAATTTAGGTAGGAGGGAGAAACTATTGTATTCTAGGGTAGGGGAACAGCATAAGCTCAGAGAGACTAAAGCAGGACAAAGGACAAAGAGCAGAGACATTTGCCTGTAGAGTTTCCTAGACAGAAGTAGAAAGAGGTGAGATTAGAGAAGTAAATTGTAGCTAGGTTTTAAAGTCTTGTCTTTTAGACTAAGGATTCAAAACTTGATTTTGTGAGAGATGGAGGGGTTTGAATTCAGAGTAGAGAAACTGTAAATATTAAGCTAGCACTATTTCTTAGAATAGATTGGAGCACTGAGAGAGTAAAAGTAGAGAGGTCTGTTATGAGTTTTATTCAAGAATCCTGGTAAATGTCAAGAGGGCCCTTGCTGGAACACAGCAATTTGAAAGGAAACTAAAATTAGAACCTAGTATATTGCAAAACAAGACATGAAAGAGTGTAGAAGGAAATAGAAGGGGAGGAGGCAAAGGTATCTTTGAGGTTCAGTGACTGCTATCATTGATGGAAACATGAAAGACCCCAAAGAGACATGGTTTGGGAACTAGTTCAGTTTTAGAAATGTTGAATTTGTGGTGACAGGAGTACAATTAAGTAAAGATGATGAGTAGGCTTTTAAAGATGGGGAACAATATCAGGAGAGATCAGGGCAGAAGATAGAATTTTGTGTAGATATGACAGGTCAACTCAGGGGAAAGAACTCATGAGTGTGAAGAAAGGAGCATTAACATTCCTTGAGGATTGGGTACAAAACCAGTGATTTAAAAAATATTTAAGTATATATATGTGTTTTATTGGAATTTATCTAGATGCTTTAAGGTTTATGACTTTGACAGTGTAGTCTAGATGTTTTACCTGGTGAAGAAAACAGATGCTCTTCTTGTTCATTTTTATCTGATACAAAATTAATATTCTTTCTTTCTAAGTCTATATTAGATATGATGGATCAATTTGCTTTCTAAATAGAAGAAATATTAGGTATCTGTGGATTGTTGGAACTGCTCTATATCTAGACAATGAAAAGGAAAGTTAAAGTCAGTGAAGATGTTATGATTTTGTGAGAGATACCAGTCCTTATTCTGATAACCTAAAACATAATACTATAAGGAAACTGTTGTGCACCGTAAGTGAAAATCTGCTTAGAAGGAGGCTTTTTCCCAGGCAATATCTTTTGCTTTTTCTTCAACTCTGTTCTGTTTAAGCTGATTATTTTTTTCTACGTAATCATTTTGTAAAAGTAACCAATATGTGGCAAGAACACAGAGATGAATTTGAAAATGTACTTTACTGTTAACAACTATTAGGCAGACTATTTTGAGACACCTTAACTGTTTACTCTCATTGATTTATTTCTTGTAAAATTTTTAGTTTGATCTAATCTAATTTCACAAGAGAGATTTCTTGGTTAGTTAACATTCTTAGTCTAAAAAGACTGCTATAATGACTTAATTTGAACTGAATTTTTGATCTGCTAGAATTTCATTAAATAAATTACAGTTAGAGTAATTAGTGAGAATATTTGTAGAAAAGTTGTCTAGTAATGAAGGAAAACAAAAGTAAACAACTTGAAAAGGGGCAACGGAGCATTTCTAGGGGTTTCATGGTTTATCTGAGAAAGTACCTGATTCCTTACCCCTGGTTAGATCTTCCCTAATGCTCATTAACTAACATTAACCCTTCACTGCTTTTGCCTTTAAAATAAAGACTGGACAGGAAAACAGTAATTTTCCTTAGTTGAAGGTTTAATGCAGTAGTGTCCAAAAGCAGTCAGTTCTTTGTGCTACTGCCAGTATGTTGTCACTGCAGCACTCTGGCATCTTGCCAACCAGGGAAATTGGGAGCAAAAATAGGAAAGGAATTTGGCGTTATATTTTGGCATGTTTTTCTATTAGTCATGTTTTAAGGACTTTGGTCTATGTATTAGTACAGATAAATGGAAAAATTGTTAGTATGCCATTGGAATAAAGGCAAATATTTTTTCATAAAAGTATAATTTTCTAATGAATTCAATGTTGAAAATATACTCCTTAATTTTTAGTCAAATGAATAAATATTTTTGGTAATTTGAAAAAGTTAAATATTTGAGAATCGTAATTAAGTCACTGTTAAAAAATAGAATAAAATTTTAAACCTCATTTATTTTCTAAGCTGGTACGTGCCATTTTTGAAATTATTTTAACAGTGATTATTACTACTCTAAAAAGGTGTTCTGTTGCTTAATAGAATATTACAGACAATGAACAAAAATGTACCCACAGATAATTGTATATTGATGTAAAGTTCCTATAGCTATAAATTGGTATTTCTCATATCTAAAAAGTTTCTAAATATTTTGATACTGTTTTGTTACAGTGTGATGAATTTATAATGTCCACCTGGAACTTATGTTTTGTTCTCAGGAGTTTAGAACCAAACTCAGAGAATAATTAATTTCTATAAATTCAGATCACATACTCAGTAGCATTGAAATCCATGCTCATTTGAAAACATAAGGACCTTTTAAATATAGCCACATACCAAGTTAAAGGATAGGAAGATATCTCTTAGCAGCATACCAAATTGCATTATAGTACAGTAACTCTAAAATTATTTTAATAAGCAATCAAATGCCAACTTGAAGTAACACATCTCCCTTTGTTGTATAAATATTGATTATGAAATAGATTAACATTTTCTTAAAATAGGAATGTAAGCAAATCAGTTGAGAAATTTTTGTTGAAATGTATGGAGGAAAAGCTGAGAATATTTCTACTTTTTAAAAAAAATGAGATGTTACATGTACAGATTATTGTGCATGAAATAATTTATTAAAAACCCATTTCTTTTGTCAATAGCAGTTTCATCATGAAAACCTGGTCAATCTGATTGAAGTTTTTAGACAGAAAAAGAAAATTCATTTGGTGTTTGAATTTATTGACCACACAGTATTAGATGAGTTACAACATTATTGTCATGGACTAGAGAGTAAACGACTTAGAAAATACCTCTTCCAGATCCTTCGAGCAATTGAGTATCTTCACAATAATAATGTAAGTGCTTCAGAGTAAGCAAAACTATAGGATGTATATGAATTGTAAGTGCCCTTTAAACAATGTTCTATTTATGTGAAGGTTGCTAAAATTATTTTTCTGTACAATATTAATTGACATCCTGAAAATGAGGTCACTACCTTACAATTTAGTTGCAGAACCGAAAAACATATTGAGCGCACGATAATTATAACTATAGGGCAGACCAAGTATGGGATGCTAAAGGAGATATCAATAATTTGGTATAGAGGAATCAACAGTCAACTGGGGCAGCTTTTATTAAAGAAAGTACATTAAAAAACATTAACAGTCAGGCTAGCTCAAACGAAGAGAGATTTGCAGGTAGGAACTGGAAACTAGGCCAGGGGAATGGCAAGTGAATGTGGATGACTTTAGGGAAAGATAGGAGAAATAGAGTGGCTGAAAAGTGTAGAACCTTGTCTTTTAACTTATGAAAAATCAAGAAAGGAAAGAAGATCAATTGTTCTGAGATTAAACACTAAAAAGTGTTGCCTTTAGCATTGCCTAGTAAGTGTTTAGCTTAGCAGGTTTTTATGGAGATATTTTGTTCCCAACATGAGCTCTGCTTTCTGGAAAGTTAGATAAATATTCTGGAAATAATATTTGAGTAAAATCCTCAAAAATAGTTTTATTAGTAATTGATATAGGCATAACATCTACATATCCCAGGCTTTATCAGATATCTTCTAATTTTCTGTCTTGCTAATAGTTCATCTCATTTTACAGCTTTGAAAAAGATGGTTGTGATAGCAACTGGAATTCAGATTATAATTTCCTTGCCAGCTGGACCCATGGGGTGGCAGTATAATGTAACAGTTAAGAACACGCAATCTGGGGCCAGCCCGGTAGCGTAGTGGTTAAATTCGTGTTCTCCGCTTCGGCCCTGGGTTGGCGGGGTCGGATCCTGGGCGCGTACCTACACACCACTCGTCAAGCCATGCTGTGGCAGGTGTCCCACATATAAAGTAGAGGAAGATTGGCATGGATGTTAGCCCAGGGCCAGTCTGCCTCAGCAAAAAGAGGAGGATTGGCAACAGATGTTAGCTCAGGGCTAATCTTCCTCACAAAAAAAAACAACAAAAAAAACAAAACCACAGTCTTTGGAATCAGACTGTCCTATGTTTTCACCCACCAGCTTACCTATGGATAACCACACAGCTTGTGCACTTCATAACTTGCACGATGAAAGGTGGCAGCCCCATTACTCTGTGGCCCCAGGAAAGTTATCTAACCTCTCTGTGCCTTATTTTTCTCATCTGTAAAATGAGAACTCTAGTGCCTCACAGGTTTTTTGTAAAGATCAAATTAGGTGGTAGGTATAAAGTATTTAGCACTGTGTCAGGCACATTTTAAGTGCTCAATAAATAGTGCTGGTAGGGAGTCAGGAATAGTGTTATCTGTCTCCCTATAGTGTCTGTCTATAGTAGACTTTAAAAATGTTTCTAGAATAAAGAGAGACACCAGTATGGGCTAGACTGGGAGTAGAATACTTCAAAGAGGAGGTAAAACTAAAGTAAGTAGAATTTTGAACTGTAGCTAGGATTTCACTAGAATAGAAGAGGAAATACTTTCACTTGGGGTACCACTGGGAGAATAGAGGTAGACCTGATCAAGGGACTTCAGAGAGTGGTGATAGTCATTTTACAGAGACCAGGTAAAGGGAGATAAGACTGCACAGGTGCCCTGGGGAGAGGTTTTCCAGAGCCTTGAAATTCACCCTGAAGAGTTTGGACTTTTTCCTGAGGAAACTGGGAAAGCATGGAAAGTTTTTGAGCATTGCTGAGTTTTATACAGGAAAAAACAAAACCTAAGCTTATTTTGGCAAGAGTAGAGAACAAGTATGGATAGAGACAGAGAGATCAGGTGAGAGGCTATTGTGACAGTCTGGATATGAAGTGTGAAGGCTTGGACTAGGATAGTGGTAACGGTAAGGAGAGGAAGGATGGCAGGGGAGAGGATGGAAAGACTTAAAAAGAGAAATGACAGGATTTGGGAAATAATTAGATATGAGAGGGATGCAAACAAGGAGAAATGAAAGATAATTACAAGATTTTTAATTTGAGAGCAGGAGAATTATGGTACCATTAGCAGTAACTGAGTTTAGAAGGGGGAATTGCTTTTAGATATATTGATATATTTTAAGGGACAGTTTCTAAGTAAAAATAGTGGTTAACCAATTATCTAACATGGCCTTAGGAAGTTGTCAGAACTGGATATACAAATTGGGAAACCTTCCTCGTAGAGACTATGGTTGCACAGGTAAGGATGGATCACTCTCCAAGGGACAGAGAGAAAAATAAAAGGTAGTTCTCAGCACCAAGTGTGGAATAATCTCCATGGGGGTGTGGGGGGCAGCAGAGAAAGAGGCCTAGAGAGAAGCACGTGCATTCTTTTATTTTCTTGGTCTTCTCTAGGACCTGGAGTAAAATTATCCCTGTCCCTCACTCCGCAGAATGTTGTAAAGTTAGTTACCTTTGAGAATTAAGGCAACCATGAATGAAGCAGCTCATTAGAATAAATATTACTATACTTGTTATCTGGATATCTGGGTTCTGGACCTGATGATTTAAGATTATCTTCATGTTAACAAAACTCAAGAAAGAAAAACTTTATTTTCCTAATATCTCCAAATTTCAGATGATTGGGCTTTTATATAACTGAAATGTTTGAGATATTGTCTACCGTGATACCCTATGTTCCTTTTAATAAGAATTCATGAAGTCAAATACAGTTCAGTACCAGAAAAAGCTTTTTATCTGAGAAGTATTTGTTTACCTTCTTTTGTTTAATAATGAAAATATATTTACTTTTGTATATTGGCTTCTAGGCAGCTCAAATAAAAATTTAATGTTCAGTTGCAGTAACTAGTTAATTATAGGAATCGAATTGATCTTTTTAATTCTGTTTTTTTTTAATTTAAAACTTTGATCTGGTTATTATTATAAGCCTCTTCAAAACCATTTTGGAAGGAGTCAGAGTCTAAATGCAAATATTTGGCCACTTATGGGGGATAAATGGTTGTTTATTCCCTCATTCATTTATTCAACAAATATTTGTTAAGCATCCTTCAGTAGCAAATATTGATCGTAGTAGGTGCTGAGGATGCAGCTTTGAGTAAAAGACTTGCCTCCTACACTTATGGAGCTTGTTAAATTTTATCCAATTTTTGGTAAACTTTATGAATTCTGAGTAATTCTGATTAATACCTAAGAACTGTCAATTTCCCTTAGCTCCAGCCCCACCCCCTACTCTCCAAAGCCCTGCTTCCCTAAATTTAGCCCATTTTTGCATATTTTCTTGAATATTTTGTGTAACTCTGCTTTTGGGTTTTTAAATTCTTAGTCTTCCAAACAAAGAATTATTATTATTTGAATAATATTATTGTTAACATTTTAATATTATTTAATATATTTTAATATATTGTTAATATTTTGCTATATGTGCTTCATCTATTTTGTTTTCTGAAGTATTTTAAAGTAAATTATAAACCTGATGTTTTATCTCTAAATACTTTACTATGTATGTCTTTAAAAACCACATTTTCATATGTAATTTCAGAATCATTTTTACATCTGCACAATTAACAATAATTCCTTAATATCATCTAATGCCAAATTCATTTTGAAATTTACCCAATTGTTCCTAAAATGTTTTTTACAGCTAATTTATTAAAATCAGGATCCAATCAAGGACTACACTTTCCGTTTGGTTTTTAGGGCATATAGGGAATTCCCAATCTTGCCATCTACCTCAGACATCCTTATTCAGTCTCTTTTTGGAGGGTATTGGCTTATTTTTTCATATACACATTAGCATTTAATTGTATAACTTTTTTTTTTTTTTTTTTTAAAGATTTTATTTATTCATTTTTTTCCCCCCAAAGCCCCAGCAGATAGTTGTATGTCATAGGTTCACATCCTTCTAGTTGCTGTACGTGGGACTCGGCCTCGCGCTGGACGGAGAAGTGGTGCCTTGGGGCGCGCCCGGGATCCGAACCCGGGCCGCCAGCATCAGAGCGCGCGCACTTAACCGCTAAGCCACGGAGCCGGCCCTAATTGTATAACTTTTGATTGGAAAGTTTATTAAATGAAGCTCTAGGTGGTTTAGAACCAGGCTCTCTGAGGCTGCTGTAGAGGATATGGAAATTTGAACTCTCTTAGGTGGATGTTTAAATTCAAGCAAATAAGGCTATATAGAGCAGAGGTAGTATAAATCAGATTGTAATATGGAGTTTTATGTAGTTCTGGAGCATTCCACTATAAAGTAAAGGAGAATCAAACTCATTGTTTGAATCCAAAGTCTGATGGTTTACACTATATATGAAAATTAACTCAAAATGGATCAAAGACCTAAATGTGAGAGCGAAAACTATAAAACTCCTAGAAGAAAACACAGGTGAAAATCGGTGTGACTGTGTATTAGGCAATAGTTCTTCAGATATGACACCAAAAGCAAAAGCAATCAAAGAAAAAATAGACAAATTAGGCTTCATCAAAATTTAAAACTTTTGTGCATCAAAGGACACTATCAAGAAAGTAAAAAGACATTCCACAGAATGGGAGAAAATATTTGCAAATCATATATCTGATAAGCATCTAGTATCCAGGATATATAAAATGCAAGCCAACAATAAAAAGACAACCCAATTTGAAAATGGACAAAGGACTTGAATAGACATTTCTCCAAAGAAGATATACAAATGGCTGATAGTACATGACATGATGCTCAATATCATTAGTTATTATGGAAATGCAAATCAAAATCACAATGAAATACAGCTTCACACCCAGTAGGCTGGCTGTAACTTTAAAAACAGACAATAATGAATGTTGGCAAGAAAGTGGAGAAGTGGAAAACCTCTCTGCTGGTGGTAATATAAAATGGTGCAGCTGCTGTGGAAAACAGTTTGGCAGTTCTTCAAAAAGTTAAACATAGAATTACCATATAACCCAGCAATTCTACCCCTACGTAGCCACCCAAGAAGATTGAAAACATATTTTCACATAAAAACCTGCACAGGAATATTCATAGCAGCATTCTTCATAATAGCCAAAAATTGGAAACAACTCAAATGTATATCAGCTGATGAATGGATAAACAAAATGAGGTATATCCATACAACGGCATTTATTTAGCCAACAAAAAGGAATGAAGAACTGATACGTGCTACAACATGAATGAACCTTGAAAACATTACATTAGATGAAAAAAGTCAGATGCAAAAGACCACTTAGTATAAATTCCAGTTAAATATCCAGAAGAGGCAAATTCATATTTGTATATCTTATTAATATTTGTAAATCTTATTAAATATTTGCAAAAATGTGTTTCTTTAGTTCTTTAGACATAGTTTCCTTTAACTTTGAACATATTTAAAATAGCTGATTATAGTCTTTGTCTAGCAAGTTCAATGTTTCTTATTGACTGGTTTTCTTTCCTGTGTATGGGTCATACTTTTTCTTTGCATACCTTTTTTTTTTTTGAAATTTGGAATTTTTTCTTGAAAACTGGACATTTAAAATAGCATAATGTGGCATCTCTGGAAATCAGAGTTTCCCATCTCTCAGGGTTTGTTGTTGTTGCTGTTTGTTGTAGTGGCTGTTTGTTTAGTTACTTTTCTCAACTAATTCTGTAAAGTTTATGTTCTTCATCATGTGTGACCACTGAAATCTCTGCCCAGTTAGCTTAGTGGTTAGCCAATGACTGGACAGAGATTTCCTTAAATGCCTGAAACCAGTAAATCTCTCAGCCTTATTTACTGAGGGGCTCTCTCTGTGTGTTGGGATATGCCTACAATGTTTAAGCAGGCAGTTTACAACTCTGCCTTAGCCTTACCTTTATGCTTGAGCAGAGCCTCCAAGTCAGCCAGAGGTGAGAGCTTAGGACTGTCTCAGATCCTTCCTGGGCATGTGCACAGCTCTGCCTGTGGCCTTCTTGATTCTCCAGGAATATGTTGGAGCTCTTCAAACCCTTAATGGACATCTCACTCCTAGCCTTTCTTTTTAAGTATTTTGGTCAGCTCTTGTTTGACAGCTGCCTCAGGTGGCTATAATATTACGTAGTAGCTGCTAATTATTTCTGACAAAGGCCCCAGGAGAAAGGCTGTTTGCACTGGGCAAGCTCTGAGTTAGGTCAGATAAAGACAAGTCTTCTAGTGGGATTTTCCAGTGACCTGCTTGACAGGTCAGATAATGACAGTTGGGAATGGGGCTTTGGAAGAGATAGAACCCTGTTCTACACCCTGCGTAGGCTGCTAGGCCACTGTTTTTCACCATGATTTGGGGGCTATTGGTTTACAAAGCTACCAGGAGTTTGCCAAACTGTTTTCCAAAGTGGCTGTACCATTTTATTTACATCGTCGCCAACAATATATTCCAGTTTTTCCACATCCTCTCCTGTATTTGTTGTTGTCTTTTTGATTATAGCTATTCTAGTGGGTGTGAAGTGGTATCTTTTTTTTTTTTTCTGAGAAGTAAAACTGTCTTTATTCACAAATGTAGAAAATTTTCTATGTAGAAAATCCTACGAAATCTACAACAAAGTTAACAGAACTAATTTGCAAGTTTATCAAGGTAGTAGGATACAAGATCAACATACCAAAATTAATTGTATTTCTATATATTAGCAACAAGCAATCAGAAATTCAAATAAAAAATACCATTGCAACAGAATAAAAAATATAAAATACTTAGGGAAAATCTGACAAAAGATATACAAGACCTATACACCGAAAACTGCTAAACGTTGATGAGAGAAATTAAAGACGACCTAAACAAATAGACAGAAATACTGTTTTTATGGAGGTCTCAATGTGATAGTGGAGGACCAAGGAGGGTGTCATCAAAACAGAATTTTAAAAGGTGGGATTCAGGGGCTGGCCCGGTGGTGTAGCCGTTAAGTGCGCGCACTCTGCTGCGGTGGCCCAGGGTTTGGATCCCGAGCGTGCACCCACGCACCGCTTGTCAAGCCATGCTGTGGTGGCTTGCCATACAAAGTAGAGGAAGATGGGCATGGATGTTAGCCCAGGGTCAGTCTTCCTCAGCAAAGAGAGGAGGATTGGCGACAGATGTTAGCTCAGGGCTAATCTTCCTCATGAAAAAAATAAAAAAGGTGGGATTCAGAGAGTGCTTTGTTCTCAAGGATAACAAAATTCCACATGTAGTCATGGTGTTAGTTGTTGAAAAGACTGAGAATATTAGGGTATCAACCGGGTGGATCTTTCTGCCACATGTTTAGAGCTCTGAGGAGGAGGGCAATGGATGTGTGGTGGACAGAATGTGTGAAGTGGTGTCTTAATGTGCTTTTCCATGTCTATTTTTGCTCACGTTATATCTTCAGATCTTGGCATACTGCCTGGCACATAGTAGTCACTCAATAACAGTTGTGAAAGAAAAAAGGATTAATATAGTTTTATAGATGGTACCCTTAAGGTGGCTCATTACCCTAAGTTAGTTTTTTGGCCATTTTTGGAGGGAGACTGGGGCAAGAGCCAATCCCAAAGATTTATAGCAGTAAGTTGTGTAAACAAGGAAAGATCCCAGATTTCTGTCACTGAGATATTTTCACTTGTGCTATGATACTTTGCTGGTGATGAGAATATGCTTTGTTCATTTGATAAAGTTTTTAAATGCCGCCTTTGTTTTAGGCACTATACTGGGCACTGGTGATATAGCTTGAATAAGACATACATACATCTTGCCCTCGTGGAACTTACAGTCTGGTGGGAGTTACAAACAAATAAACAGGCAATTAATAATATATCATGATAAAAGCTGTGCTGGGGGAAGTGCAGAATAATGTGAGAACATATAGAAAGAACATCTAATGCAAACATCTAAGCTGAGACCTGAGGAAATAGTTGGCCAGGCAAAGTGTTCTAAGCAGTTGGAACAGCATCAGCAAATGCACAGAGAAGAGACAAACCCCACAAAATTGGGAAACTAATATTCTATAGGCTAGGGAAGGGAGGTTGAGAAGATGAGCAGGGGCCAAATCTTTCAAGGCCTTACAAGCCATTTTTAGGAGTTTCAAATTTGTCCTGTGGATGGGGAATCCTGGAAGGATGTTAAGCTGAGAAGTGACATGATCACACATGTAATTTTAAAATAGTACTGTGACTTCATTGTAGACAGTGGATTGGAGGGGATCGAAGTGAATTCAGGGAGACTAGTTGGTAGTATAGTAAATTTAGTGGAGAACTGAGAGGACTTGAACTAGGGAAAGAAGTAGATAGGTTAAGAGAGTATGAGGACTGGGCCGACCCCATGGCTTAGCGGTTAAGTGTGCGCGCTCCGCTACTGGCGGCCTGGGTTTGGAGCCCAGGCGAGCACCAACGCACCGCTTCTCCAGCCATGCTGAGGCTGTGTCCCACGTACAGCAACTAGAAGGCTGTGCAACTATGACATACAACTATCTACTGGGGCTTTGGGGAAAAAAAGGAGGAGGATTGGCAATAGATGTTAGCTCAGAGCTGGTCTTCCTCAGCAAAAAGAGGAGGATTAGCATGAATGTTAGCTCAGGGCTGATCTTCCTCACAAAAAAAATAAATTAAAAAAAAAGAGAGTATGAGGACTAAGGGAGAAAAATCCTTGGTTTCTAGCTTGAGCCATGGGGTCAATGTTGGTTCCACTCACTGAGCTAAAGGACTATTGAGAACGAATATGTTTGGGAGAGAAGATGACGCATTTAATTTTGGATTTTCTGGGTTTGTAGGGTATGTGGGTCAGCCTTGTGGGACTTCTTGTGGACTTCCACTCCTTGTCGAAACCAGGAGAGATATCTTGGTTAGAGATAGAAATTTGGAAATCATCAGTATATGGATAGTTACTAAAGCTATAAGGGTAGATGAGATTGAGATGGAGCAGCCAATAGGTGGGAAGAAGCCCAAGAGAGTATGGTGTCCCCACAACCAAGTGAAGAAAGAAAAGAAAAAGAAAAAAAGACTAGATGAGATTGCCCAGGAAACATGACGTATGAGAAGAGAAAGCCTAAGACCAGAACCCTACATTTAAGAGACAGAGAAAGAGGAACTGCTGCAGAGATAGAAGGAGACTGGGAGAGTTTTAGGTCCCAGAAATCAGGAATGGGGGAGTGGTTGGCAACATTTTTACAGTAAGATATCAAGTAAGATATGTATTGAGGAGTGTCTATTGGATGTAGCAATAACGAAGTTGTTGATGACCTTGGCTAGGGCAGTTTAATGGAACGTGGGAGCAGAAGACAGATTACATTACCATGAGGGATGAATGAGTGGTCAGAAAATAAAGACTGAGTAAAGATAACGTCTTCAAGAGGTTTAGCTGTGAAGGAAAGAGAGAAAAGGCAGTACCTGGAGTGTGACATGGAGTTAAAGGAAAGTTAAACTTTTTTCGTTAAGTTCTTTTGATTACTTTTCCTTTTAGGAATGTGATTTACCTTTCCAGTATTAAGTCCGTTTTCTTGTCTTCATTTCATTTTGAGATGATGGATGGGGCAAGAAATGAAAAGATATTACTATTCGCATTATGTAGTTAATCCTTTGCATGTAGTCAGAAAATAGCTTTATTGTCTTAATTAGCTAGATTTTCTCTGTGTAATTTTTGAGACATTCTCTAGATAATGAAACTTCATTTTAATGTATTGTATCTTCTGTTTGTTTTTTAGATCATTCATCGAGATATAAAACCTGAGAATATTTTAGTATCCCAGTCAGGAATTACTAAGCTCTGTGATTTTGGTTTTGCACGAACGCTAGCAGCTCCTGGGGACATTTATACAGACTATGTGGCCACACGCTGGTATAGAGCTCCAGAATTAGTATTAAAAGATACCTCTTATGGAAAGTAGGTATATTTTGGGATCCTGCCTGGCCTTTCCTAGCTATTTCTTTTTTCTCTTGGTGTGTCCATTACCCCTACTACTAACACCCTCTGTCTTCTGTATCTGGGTTGGGGCTAAGAAAGGGACACCTCTAAATAGAACTGAGAGACCCAGAGGCACCTGCCCTGCTGGCTATTGATGTTGCCCCAGCCCCAGGAGACCTATGCAGACATCCCTCAGGCTGTATCCATGCTTGCTTTAAGCTGTGCCCCACCCTTGGCAGAGTTGCCTCCTCTGCTTATCTTGAGCCTCTACATTTTGCAAAGATTTTAAAATCGTTTACCTCACTCTACCAGTGTTAGCATAGGAATTGCCAAGTTTCCTATTTCCTGGAATATGGCACCCTCTTTGCAAAGATTGGCAATAATAATTTTTACATTGTACTGTTCTAGATACCTCAGAAAGTAGCATGGTCTCATTCTATTGTGGAATAGTAGAAACAGTATGTGAGACAGCAGTCTAATATACAAATAACAAATCCTGAAGAAGAGAAAGGGACCAAGTTGTACAACTTAGTACAAGAAATGGGGGGCGAGGGGGGTAAATTCTCACATGCTTTTTCTAGAAACCATTATTCTGTTTTTATAATAATATCTAACATTAGTGAGTATTTACTTTATGCCAGAAACTGTTCTAAATGCTTTACATGCATTAAATCATTCAATTTTCACAACAACCCTGTGGTGAAGGTGCTGTTATTATCATCTCCACTTTGAATAAGAGAACACTAAGACACAGAAAGTAAACTAGTTTGCCTGAAGTCGCTCCAGAGTACATTTTCAACTGTGCTTACCACTGATTGCCCTACACAGACTCTCTGTGCCTCAGTTACTTTATCTGTACAATGGAAATAATGATAGGACCAGCTTTATAGGTTTGTTGTGAGAATTCAATGATTTAATGAGTGAAAAAGATTAAAATATAGTAAGTGCTCAATAATGTAGCCTCCATAAGATCTCTCTATGTCTCAGTTTTACCCTCTTCATAATGTAGCTTAAATTTCTTTTCTGATGAAACACCTAATCCCTATCCCTTGCCCCCAAATCATATCCCCTTCTAAACCCTCTTATACGTTATCTGTAAATTTTGTGCCAGTTAATATTTAATATGGCCTAGTTCTACTCTAGCTCTTTTTTTTATACTTCTTGCTGAAAGATAAGTTCCTTGAGGACAGGTATAATCTCTTGTACTCCACAGAGCCAAAGTTGGTGCCTTGCACATGGTAAGTTTGGATTCTGTGAGGCTTTATATTGTGTTTGAAATATATTTGCTAGTGAGTCTTTTTAAAAAATCTTTTTATTGCAAAGCAAAACATAGTACAAGAAAAGCTCACACAACAAATGTACAGCTCTACCAACAGATCAAAAAATAGAAGTTTGCTGGCCACCCCACAAGACTGTCCATGTGTCCTATTCTAATACACCACCTTCCTTCCCTCAAAAGTAACCATGGTATTCACTTTTATTATACTAATCAGTTCCTTGCATTTCTTTGTAGTTTTATCACCCAAAAGTACATCTACTTAGTTTAATCTAGCCTTTTTTATGACAGCTTTTTTGAGATATGATTCACATACCGTAAAATTCACTCAAAGTGTAAAATTCAGTGGTTTTTAGTATATTCACAGAGTTGTGCAGTCATCACTATAATCAACTTTAGAACATTTTTATCACCCCAAAAAGAAACCCTATACCCATTAGCAGTCACTCCCCATTTCCTCCCAACCCCTCTAGTCCTAGGCAGCCATGAGTCTACTTTCATTCTCTATGGATTTGCCTATTCTGGACATTTCATGTAAATGGAATTATGCAATATCTTGTCCTTTGGGTCTGACTTCTCTCACTTAACATGCTGTTTTCAAGGTTCATCCATGTTGTAACATGTGTCAGTACTTCATTTCTTTTTATGGCTAATTACCATTTTATGGACATACCATATTTTATTTACTCATTCATTAGTTGGTGGACATTTTGGTTGTTTCCACTTTTTGGCTATTATGAATAATACTGCTGTGAACATTTGTGTGCACGTTTTAGTGTGGACATGTGTCTTCATTTGTTTTGGGTATATACTTAGGAATTGGAATTGTATGTCATATGGTGCCTCTATGTTTAATCTTCTGAGGAACTGCCAGACTGTTCTCCAAAGTGTCTGCATCATTTTACATTCCCCCTGGCAGAGTATGAGGGTTCCAATTTCTCTACATCCTTGCCAACACTCGTTATTACCATTTTTTATAGCATTCCTAGCCTTTCTTTTTTAAATAAATATTTTATTTTGGAATAATTTTAGATTTATAGAAAATTTGCAAAGATAGTACAGGATTCCTGTATAGCCCTCACCCAATTTCTGCTTTCTTTAATGTTATAATCTTACATTACTGTGGTATAGTTGTCAAAACTAGTTTTCCCTTTTTTATTTAAATAAGATTTGATATGTTTTTAAAGTCTCTTTTAAACTACAGGAATTTCCTCTGTCCCTTTCTTTTTCATACAACTTAACTGTTGAAGAACCCAGACCAACGCTAACAGTCTGAATTTTGTTGATTACATACTCAAACAGTGGAGTTCAACGTGTTTCTCTGTCCTTTATATTTTGTGCAAATTGGCAGCTGGATCCAGAGGCTGGATTAGTCTGAGGTTTAATCCCTTAAGCAAAACTATAGGCAGTATTGTCTTCTTTCATCAGAAGACACAGAAGTCTGAATGTTTCTCTTTTTGTAATGTTAGTAGCCATTGATGATTAATCGCTAGATTTATCACTTCACTGGGGTTTGCAAAATGGTAGTATTTTAATTTTATCATTTCTTTTTTATTTATTACTTATAATACTTTTATAAAGGGACAGTTCCCCTCATCTACTATTTGGTTACCCAGAGATATAGTTCATATTGAGAAGGCAGGGTATATGCTTGATTTATCAATTTTCAAGATGAATTGTCTCCCAGGGTGACCTCCAAAGGTGATCAATTAATTTCATAAAAATATCATTATGAACTCATGGACTTAAACATACTTATTGGGTCTCAATGCATTGCAGTTATTATTGAAGTTCAAAATTTTCCATCTATGGCCAATGGAAGCCTTTTCAAGTTGGCTCCTGAGTCCTTTTAACATGACCTAGTATATAGTCTTTGATAGTTTCCTTGCTACCCAACTGACAAGATGTTCTAGGCTCATCTTTTACATTTTTTTGCCCCAGACCTGGCATCAGCCATTTACCAAGAAGCCCAGGTATCTTTATGTGGGAAATGGTATTTTAAGACCACAATATGTGATGGATGGCTATATCTGTACATATGGCTGTGTGTGTATATATATCATGTAATTATACTGATACTTCCAATTCAAATTCAGGGCTACAAGGTTTTTACTTAACTTATGTATTACTTATGTACAGTAGTACCCCCTTATCTGTGAGAGATATGTTCTAAGACCCCTAGTGGACGCCTGAAATAGTACTGAATCCTATGCAATTGTTCCTAGATATCCAAGGGGGATTGGTTCTGGGACTCCCCTCCCCTGCGGATACCAAAATCTGTGGATGCTCAGGTCCCTTAGTCAGCCTTCTGTATGTTGCAGAGTATGAGGGTTACAATTTCTCTGCATCCTCACCAACACTTGTTATTATCTGACTTTTGGATTCTAGTCATCCAAATGAGTGTGAAGTGTTATCATGTTGTGGATTTGATTTGCATTTCCTTGATGACTAACAATTTTGAGCATCTTTTCTTGTATTTATTGGCCATTTATATATCTTCCTTGGAGAAATGTCTGTTCAGATCCTTTGCTCATTTTTAAACTGAATTGGCTTCTTTTTTCTTTTGCTTGAGGAAGATTGGCAGTAAGCTAACATCTGTACCAATCCTCTATTTTTTGTATGTGGGTCACTGCCACTGCGTGGCTTTTGACAAGTGGTGTAGGTCCATACCCAGGATCTGAACCCGTGAACCCAGGCCGCTGAAGCAGGCTGCGTCCAACTTACCCACTATGCCACCAGGCCGGGCCCCTAAATTGGATTGGCTTTTTATTGAGTTGTAAGAATTCTTTGTATACTCTAGATACAAATTCATTATCAGATATATATTTGCAAATATTTTCTCTCATTCTGTAGGTTGTCTCTTCATTTTCTTGATGGTGTGCTTTGAGGCACAGAAGTTTTGAATTTTGTTGAAGTCCAATTTATCTGTTTTTTTCATTTGTTGTTTATGCTTTTGGTGTCATATTTAAGAATCTTTTGCCAAATCTAACGTCATGAATATTTATCCCTATGTTTTCTTCTAAGAGTTTTATAGTTTTAGTTCTTACATTTAAGTCTTTGATCCATTTTGAGTTAATTTTTGTAGATGGTGTAAGGTAAGGGTGTAACTTCATTCTTATGCATGTAGTTATCTAGTTGTCCCAGTATCATTTGTTGAAGAGAATATTTTTCCCCTTTGAATGGTCTTGGCACCCTTGTTGAAAATCAGTTGACCATAGTATAAGGGTTTATTTCTGGACTTTCAGTTCTGTTCCATTGATCTATATGTCTATCCTTGTTCTAGAACCACACTGTCTTGATTATCATTGCTTTGTAGTAAGTTTGAAATCAGAAGGTGTGAGTCCTCCAACTTTGTTCTTTTTTAAGACTGTTTTGGCTATTCTGGGTCCTTTGGAATTCCATATGAATTTTAGGATCTGCTTGAAAATTTTTTTGCAAAATAGACAGCTAGGATTCTGATAGGGATTGCATTGAATCTGTAGATCAGTTTGGAGAGTATTGCCATCTGAGCTTTTGCAATGTTAAATCTGCTAATCTATGAACATAGGATGTTTTTCCATTTATTTACATCTTTAATTTCTTTCAACAATGTTTTGTAGTTTTCAGAGCATACATTTTGCACCTCTTTTGTTACATTTATTCCTAGGTATTTTATTCTTTTTGATGTTATTGTGAATGGAATTTTTTTTAATTCATTTTCATA